AAAAAAAATTTGTTGTGATCCACACAGTCAAATGCCTCTGCATAGTCAACAAAACACAAATAATCCTCTTCCTGGTATTCTATGCTTTCAGCCAACATCCATCTGATAGCAACAATGGTATCAGTCCCATGATGGCCTCTTCTGAATCCAGCTTGAGTTTTTGGCAGTCTTTATGAATGGACTGTTCCAGTCATTTTTTAATAATCTGCAACAAAATTTTCTTTCCATGTGTTATTAATATTGTTTGATATTTTCCACTTTCTGTTAGATCACATTTTGGGATGGGGGGAAAAATTTTCTTCTAGTCAGTTGGTGGACTGGTGAGCATATCCAGGGTCACTGCACCTGCTTCCTGAAGCACTTCAGTTTATACTACATCAGACCCTGCAACCTTATGTTTTTTTTTGCTAATGTCTTCAGTGCAGCTTAGACTTCCTCCTTCAGTACTACTGATTCTTGATCATGTTACTTCTTGAAATGCTGACTAATTCTTTTTAGTACAATGAGCTTGTACATCCTTCTTCTGATGCTGTGTATCATCTTCTGATGCTTCCTGCATCATTCTAGATTTTGTCTATAGAGATGCTTGAGACTGTTATGCTGAGTGAACTAACTCAATCTTAAAAGGACAAATACTGCTAAAGACCATTACTGTAAAAACAGAAGATAACTAGAAGATGCGTATAAAAGTCCAAAGGGTTGGAAGGGGGGGAAAATCATGAGGTCACATGCTTTAGTGAGTAGAGGGAGGAAATGAAGGAATCAGGAAAGATCCAGTGAAGACTTGAAAAGGTGGGGTGATAGTAGGCATAGATCAATGATGACTTGGGTTTTTTTTGTTTTGTTTTTCACATTATCATAACTAAAATTTTATGTACGAAGTGTTGATCTTGTTTCTTGCCATGTAGAGGTCTTGGGTACGCCATCCAAGAAAGATAACTTAGTCCAACTTGACGAAGCCAATATCCTTGGCGTACTGCCGGAAACATTGGCGGCATGTATCCAGTCTGTATTTTGGGATCAGTCCTGGTAGATTTGAGCTCATGCGGCAGAAGCGGGAACCCTGACCGAATTTTCGCGAGTGACTCCAGTAGAGCTGCTGGTGATCCATCTTGCTTGGAGGGAAGCACCAAGGCAAAAAGAATGATGCCTGGTTTTATAAAATGCAATGTAAGGGAATGATTGTATGAAACACAATGTGAATGAAGGAATTTGTGAAACACAATGTATATGAATTTTGTATGCAAACCAATATAAAATTTTTAAAAAGTAAAAAAAAAAAAAGAAAGAAAAAATACTTTGTCCAGAGAATCTAAGTAAAAAAAAAAAAAAGAAAAAGAAAATATACTTTGTCCAGAGAATCTTTCAGTGCAACAACTCTTCGTGTGAATCTGTTCTTCAGTTCAGCATGAGAATGTTCTGAGCATGTTCTTCTTTTTGGTTTTGAACTCCAGCTTCTTAAGAGAATTCATTTAATATTTTGCTTATTAATAACATTGAGAAGAACAGGAATCCCAGAACATTTAATTCTGCTTATGAGAAACCTATACCTTGTCTGAACAGAAAAAGGGAATACTGCATGGTTTAAAATCAGAAAAGGTGTGTCTCAGTGTTGTATTCTTTTTGCATAGCTATTCAGTTTGAGGAGGCTGGATTATATGAAGCAGAATGTGGTATTAAGATTGAAGAAAGACTCTTTACTAACGGACTGAGAGACAGAGAAAAGATTGAAGCTGTCAATGATTTCATCTTACTTGGATCCACAATCAACACCCTTGGTAGGAGCAGTCAAGAAATCAAAAGACATGTGCTGGTGAAATCTGTTGGCAAGGACTTCTCCAAAATTCTAAAGAGCATGGATGTCAGTTTAGAGACTAAGGTGCACCTGATCCAAGTCTTGGTTATCTTCAGCTACTTCCTAAGCACCTGAAAGTTGGACAATGAACAAGGAAAACTGAAGAAGAACAATGCCTTGGAAGTGTGGTGTTGGAGAAGAGTAGTGAATACTCTGGTGTATGTTAAAGGGACAAACCAATCTGTCCTGAAGGAAGTCCAACTAGAAGCAAGGACAGGGAAACTTCATCTCACACACTGTGGGCATATTTTCAGGAACTCTTAGAGCAGACATCATACTGGGAAAGTCAGAGAGTAAGTGAAAGAGAAAACTCTCAATGAGCTGGGCTGACACAGCCATCACCACAATGGGCTTGAGCATGGTAGAGGTGTGAGGGTGGGGCAGGGCAGGTTTCTGTTCACAGCGCTGCTATGACAACACCTAACAACATTTTCTTTGAGTAGCATAGCAAATAAATACCAATCAACACTGCCATGTGGAATGTGATAGCTCCTGAGGCAAGGAGTAGGGAGGAAGATCAGCCATTTCTTGGGGTAGAGAGCTACACATAGCATTTAATAACCAGGGTTTACAATGGGGCTCTTTGACTTGACATTTAAAAAATCTAGAGAACTGAGAGAATTTTTAATCTTAATTAGCAATTCTGCTTTCACCATTACTTCATAAGGTAAGGACTTTCTCAATATAAAGAACATTTCTTATCTTTTTCATTGACCCAGAACTGTTGTCAAATGGAACTGGTACTCAGTAACTTAAACCTCTAAATAAATTCTCACATTCTGCACATAAAGATATTCAATGAAGCCCTAAGGCCCCATATGAACAGAACTTTTTCACAGTTTAGCACTTTTATTGTTGTTATGTACTGTCGAGTCGCTCGCAACTCATAGTGACCCTGTGCACAAGAGCCCTAAACCCTGCTCTGTCCTGTGCCAACCTCACCATCTCTCTGACACACTCACTTAGGAATGGTAAATTTTTATTATATTTTCAATTTTACAATAATTGATTTTTTACAAATTTAGAAGAGTCACCAGGAAGTTTGAGGATGGCACAGGATAGAACAGGGTTCAGATTTTTTATTCATAGGGTTGCTATGAGTCGTACTCGACGGCATCTAACAACATCAACCACAGGAACTACAGCAATCTAAGATTTTAAAAAATGTTAGAAGGCAAGAATTAAGCTTAAAAACAACTACGTTCTATTTTAATACTTATTGTTTAACCAGAACAAGGTCTTGAATTTTCATCTGCACACCTGATAATTTTGATGATGGGATTAGTATTTTTTCCCTCTTGGCATGTCTTCTTAGTAGAAGGAAAATAGGACTGTTAGGTTTTCCTCTAGTAGATGAAAATTTTCACCTTGAACATCTGTGTAAAATGGAGGTATCTACAGAGGAAGGTATTAATTTTTATTTAAACTTGGTTCCTTCATACTTACTGGAAGGACAAGGCCTCTCAGTGTAATTTCTCCAGTCATGGCTACATCTGAACGCACCAACCGCCCACTAAAAAGTGAGGCGAGACAGGTTACTATGGTAACTCCAGCAGATGGTCCATCTTTTGTGACAGCTCCAGCTGGGAAGTGCAGATGGATGTCTGTGTTGTCAAGAAGATCAAAACTTCCAGAAGCTTTAAAAAGGAAAAGAGGATTTTAATGAATCAAAATTAAACCTGCTTTCTTTTACTCCTAGAAAGAAAACCAAGAAGACAAAAATGAATGTTTTGGGTAAATGAATCCTTCAAATATTAATGGATAGTATAATTAGAGTGGAGGGCTGAATGAGTAATTAGTTTCACTTTATTCCAAAGAGGGCTGAAAACAAAACAAACCCTTCTAAAGTTATTTCTAGTTCAGTTATTAGCTAAACAGTCTTCCAAGGATAAAATGAATTTCCATAGGGGTTCAATAAATTAAAGGCTTGTATTTTACTAAACAGTGTGATCACTAATTCAAGCTCATCTTGATTTCTGTCGCACCACTGTGTGACAAATGCCTGATGGACCATGGCCTCTCTTCCCTCACAGCTGTATTCCAACTGTGGCCGAGGTGCCTACCATTTGTCAGATGATACTTCTTTGCGTTGCTGCGGAGCCAGCTAATTGCAAGATGGGCAGATTCCTTCATGACATCCCCAAGTTGGCCAGTCAGAGTTAACTGACCTTCGCCGTCCATGCGGCTTGCCTCCACAAACATGATTTCTCCACCTAACGGAGTCCAAGCCAAACCTATTGCCACTCCTGGCTGACTCAAACGCTCAGATACCTAGGAGGAAAGAAGAAAACAAGACGACAACTGGGTCAACAAATGCCAAATTATTCTCAGGCTGACCTAACAAACAACCTTACAAGAGTCTGCTCTTCCCATGGAGGATCCAGGCCAGACTTCAAAACCCTTATTACTGACTGTGACTCTGAGTCCCACTTATCACTTACTATCTGGTTTCTTGCACATTTCTCTTTAGCATTAAAGCAATTTTACTTTAAAATATGTATAAAGATCTTTGTTACCCTAAAAAGAGACAAATCTAGTTAAAATTCCCTAATTTTCAAAGAACAAATTCAACTGTTTTTTTAGAATAACTGCATTGTATGCTGTTAGCTATTGTTAGTTGACTCTGATTCACAGAGATCCTAAAAGGATGATAACTTTGCCCTATCTGAATGTACGGCGGCACAGCCACTGCGGAGGGCAGGCTGGCGCTTCCTCAGAAAGTTGGAAATAGAAATACCATTTGATTCAGCGATCCCACTACTGGGAATATAGCCCAAAGAAAGCAGAACTGCAACCAGCAGATACATGCACATCATGTTTATTGTAGCACTGTTCACAATAGCAAAAAGATGGAAACAGCCCAGGTGCCCATCAACAACTGAGTGGTTAACACAATGGAATACTGCGCACTGAAAAAAATTCAGCTCTTTAATCACTATACAACGTGGAAGAGTCTGGAATACATTATCTTGAGTGAAATATCTCAGTCATAAAGAGACAAATACTGCTTAAGCCCATTACTGTAATAATAGAGTCGAGATGGGGGAGGGGAAAAGAACTGATAGATAATGAACACTGCACTGGAATGAGTGAAAGGCAGGCCATGCTGGAAGGAATGGACGATTAGAAATCACAGATATGACAATCAATAGTCGGAGGAGGAGGAAAGTGTGCATGAGTGAATAAAGAATTTTTAAAAAAAAAATTTGGAATAAAAAACATAACCCAACAACCAAACCAAAAGACTTTGCCCTATCCGATGTCATCCCCCAATCTCTGCTATGCTCAAATCCATCGTATTTAATTTTAGTATTAAACACCCCCTCATTCTCCTTGGGTTTGAACTGACTCATAGCTGACCCTCCATCAGGCTTTTTTTCAGAGGCTGTGAATGACATGTGAGGAAACCGCACATCTTTTTTCTCCAGAGCTGCTGGTAGACTCAAACCACCAGAAAGCCACTATCTTTTAGGACAGCAGTACAACTCCCTAGGAACTAAGCCACCAGAGCTCCCTGTATTCCTGCTAAGCTATGTATTCACACACACGCTGTAGATAGTCTACCTTTCTTTTTGGCAATGAACTTGTTTCAGAAAGAAAAACCGCACTCACATACATATAAGAACTGCTAGATCTAAAGGCCACATGCGAAATATTATAAACTCCTAGATTTTACTTCTCTGCCACTGCTTTTTCTGTTACTTCAGACACACTAGAAAATACTACTTCAGAGTTTCCTCTATTTTTCCTGCATACGAGAGGCCCCACTGTGCGGCCCTGTTTCCATTAACTGAACACACGGTTCACCTGACATTATGAGCCTGACAGGTTAAGACAGCTAAGGTGAGAAACACACACAAAAAAACGGATAGAAAAACGTAATATGTTAACTTTTAATGAATTTCCTGAGCCTCCAATTTTTTTATACTATAGAAGCTGCTGATGTCAGAAGAACTGAGCACAATATACTAACAAGTAGTGAGCGTGTTCTCTGAGAGGTAACTCTGTCACTGAGAAACAACAGAGTCTGAATCTAAGTGTAGTCTGTCTAAAGGAACAGGCTGCTAAGAGGTATTCATTCCTTATCTAAGGGATTGTTGTTGTTAGGTGCTGTCGAGTCAAGTGTGACCCATAGTGACCCTATGAACAACAGATCTGAACCCACAATGCTGGAGAGTTTGCGAAGGAGAGGAAGACCCTCAACCAGGTGTCTGCCCAATGGGCTCTAGTGTGTTAGGATGGGTGAGGATGGTGCAGGATAGGACACGGTTCTAAGACATCAGACGGGGTGAAAATCCTGGCCGATTTTAAAACATACTTTCAAGTCAGAGGTGGTATTACCTGAAGCTAGTGAATACTTATTTTTGGTATGAAACAAAAAAGTTTTAAAAGTTATGTTTTAAGTGGCAAGAAGCTGCACTGCAATCCCAGAGGTGCGTGGTTCAAATCCACCAGATGCTGTGCTGGAGAAGGAGAGACAGTCTCCTCCAGTACCAGGCAGATCTGATTTGACGGGCACACACACACAAAATAATAAAATAAAATATAAAATACTTTTTTAAAAAAAGTTATCTTTTAAACTTTTATTTCTAATTGACTTTCTGTGACTACTCTGCAACACAGAAGGCCAAGTATGAGCCTGATGTCGTGCACCCCAAAAGGCATTTATTCCCCTCTGGCTCTGGCATGTGCCCTGCTTTATGTTTACCTGAAAAAAAAGTAGATTAACGATCAATACGCAAAAGAGCAATAGGATTTTAAGGAAAATACAGAAAATAATCAAAACAAACCAAATGAAACTTTCTTTTTAAAAAAAAACGACTTACAATGCTTGGCTTTTTTCCCTAATATAAAATGAGTTCCCTGTACCTGAACCAACATCGGGTTTGGGAATTTGCTAGGAACCTATTTATATCCATCCTTTCTAGGGCAGAGCGAACTCGTCCTGAAGAACCATGTTTAATATAATATATCCCCTGTCATTTAGCAGAAAAACCTACTTGGTACAATTTTTTTTGGGTTATTATCTTTTTCTTATAGCTGATTATCCCTTTATCCTTAACAAAGATTTGTTAGAATAATACAGAAAATATCCTTAGAGGCAAGGGAGCCGGGCAGCGAGTCTACAGCGAGCTACACTGCTCAGAGGCTGCACCTCTCTGGGTGCTTGAAACCACCAGCTGCTCAGAGGGAGAAAGATGGGCAATCTCCTCCTGTTTGATTTACAGCCTCAGAAACCCAGCTGAGTCAGTTCCGTTCCAACACCAATGAGTTTGAGTTCTGATCCCCTGAGAGCAGTAGTAAGATTCTTGTTGACTATGCTGTATCTAAAAGCCAAGCCCATTTCCCCAGGAGCATCTTGGGACCCTTGCAGAAGTATGTGGCAGACTACAGCCTGGAAGGGTGGACTGACTGGCTCAGACTTGAGAGTACACACAATTGCAAGAGTGGTCTGCTCGGACAAGCATCCAGTAGCAACGATGCTTCTCTTTGTCTCACCAGGAGGAAATGAAAATGATGATTCTCACATTCCCTCCAAACGTATTTATGTAAATCAACAAAAATAGCATAACTGCAACTGAAGTTGTTGTTAGTCATGCCAATGTCAACACTGTTCAGATCACTAAGTGCTGTGATTTGAGTCCAGTGTCCCTCCTGACCTGGTCACAGTCGTGTTCTGGGGCAGCTAAGTCTGTGCTGCCCTGAGTCCCAAGCACCTGCTCCCACTCTCCTTCCCACATCACAGGGAAGGACATTTTCTTTTTAAAACGGAACTTGTTTCTTTAGGAAACTTTGTTATATTTGGAAAGGTTATGATACAACTCCTATTGTTCATTAGTCTAGGTTAAGTTCTTATAACCCATTTTTCCAGTTGTTTAGCAAATCCTGAAAGGTATGATTTACTCATAAAAGTGTGCCAACCTTCAAAAAGCTGAACACAGGAATTCCATATGACTCAGCTATTCCACCCCTTGGAAAACTCCCCGAGAAAATAAGAACTGAGGTCCAAACAGAGAGGTTCATAACAGCATTATTCACCATCACAAGAACATGGAAACAGCCCAAGTGTCCAACCACAATCGAATGGATTGAGAAATGATGGTACATTCACGTGATGAAATACTACGCAGAACACAGAAGCAATGATTTTGAAAATTATTACCTAATGTGGGAGGAACTGGAGAGCATGATGCTAAGTTAATTCATTCCCATAAGGACAAATACTCTGTAAGACCATTATTGTCGAGTATGAGGATCCAAGGTGGGGAGGGGGGAGCAGAGGGATGAGGATGGGTGGGGGGCGGGGCTGGTTAATCATAAGATTGCACAGTTTTGATGGGTGGCGGGAGAGATAGGTGAAGCAAATGGGAAAGATCTGGTGTGAAAAATAATGTATACAAACTTTACAAATAAATTAGTATAAAAAACCCAACCAACCAACCAAACAAAAGTCTGCCATCTTCCTTTCCTCCCTTACTGAGAGTTTCCTAAGTCACTACAGTGGTTTTGCACAATTAGATTTTTTTATAATTAAAGAAAAAAAAAAAGAATAAAAAGTTTTATTTTAAAAAAGAAAATTTAAAGTTTACCAATGGCCAGAGGTTGACTTTTTCAAGGGAAAGATGACCTGTTTTCTCCCTTAAGAACCTCCCAGAGCATCCAGAGTCCACTAAGACTTATTTCCATTGCCCATGGGTCTGCTGATACCAGTTTCCCATGATTCTAAATTTCCCAATTAAAAAAAAAACCAAAACAACAACCCATCAGAAATCATGATCCTAAAAACAAAAACCTCCCAGAAAGGCAGGTCAGAGATCCAAGCGTCTGGGACCCACTAAGTCTAACTTTAAGCTCAAAGATGGGTCTCTAGGGTGAGCAGCAACACTCCTTAAGACAATTAACCATTTAACATCAAATAGGGCTGCATTTGCCCCCGAAATTAAGCTTAAAGGCAAGAAGAGATAGGAAGGGGGATACAGACATGACGTCCTTGCGGGGACTGCAAACACTGTCACACAAAATGCAAACTGTTGAATGGGAAGGCAATTCGAGAGTTCTGCCCATCGCCACCAACATCCTCTGATGCTCTTGTCTCTGGTTGTGCACGAATAGATTTTCATGAACAAGGAGCACAGAGGAGGAACTGGTGGCTTTGAATTGGAGTGCTGGAGAAGAGCACGGAATATCCCATAGGCTGCCAAAAGAACAAGCAAGTCTGTTTTGGGTGAAGTGCGGCCAGGATGCTCTTTAGAGGCAAGAATGGGGAAACTGGGTCTCACACTGTTGTCAGGAGGGACTTAGGAAAAGACATTATGGGGAAAGGTGGGGGAGCAGAGAAAGCCACGCAGACCTTCCTTAGTGAGAGTAACCACAGGCTTAACAGATCACAGATGATGGGGACGGCACAGTACAGGACAGGGTTTCCATGTGTTCACAGGTCACCAGACAGTGGTCAACTTGATGGCAAACAACAACAACAACAACAACAACAACGATTAACAGCACCTGCATCGACTTTGGGACCAGGAAGGCCAGGAAGGGGTGACAGAAAGGTTTTGAACATGAGTGAAAAAAATCAGGAACAAAAACACAGCTTTGGATATTTTTTGTGGCTTGACAGGTTTGATTTTTTTAGTTTCTAAAAAGTAGGATGGTTTTAAAATTAAATCTGTTCATTTGCTAGTATGTCTGAGAAGTATGGTGTCTATGTTATGTACATTAATGCACCAAATTCTAACATCGGAGGAAAGGAACCCAGGTGGTTCTGCCAACTGAAAGGGTGGCTGTTTGAGCCCATCCACCTGTGTCTGTCAAAACGACAGTCCCCAACAGGGCTGCTGAGAACTGAAATCTCTTTCTAGGAAAAATGACAGATCTGAGAGCTTTAGTTTCATGAAATATACAAGTATTTAAGCCAAAAAAAAAAAAATCAACACAAAAACCCAAAACCAAAAAAACCTTTATAACACTTCTGGAATGTTATAATGTTGAAAACACTCAATATGTATTCTAATCTTCCCAATAAAAACTCTCTGGAGTCTTTACATAGGAGAGCACAAAGAAGAGCAAACAGTGGCTACAGTGAACACCTGACAAAGAGCAGAGAATCTGCTATGGTCAGTTTATGGTCTGTTTCTTCAATATTAGAAACAGAGTTAGTCAGATCTGGGACCAAATCTCAATGCTGGCATAAGTTGTGTCTTCTCACAAGCTATTTCAACTCTGTTTGCTGAAAAGAGGGATTAGTCCTTGGAGAGGAACATCATGCTTAGAAGGGTGGAGGGATGGAGAAAGAGAGGAAGACCATCGATGAGACGGATTGATTCACTGACTGGAGTAATGAGGGTAGGTGTGTCACAGACAGTAGAGATGGCACAGAATAGAGCAGGATTCGGGGCTGTACTGTACACAGGGTCGCATAACAACAACGCTTGTTTACTCCTCTCTTATTGGAAAGACAGCCTGACTATGGAAAAAATGATACATCTTTTATGGGCGATCTTTCACTGTGCCTGATATCCAACAGAAAAATAGAGTGGTCAATAAACCATTTCAACCTCTCTTCTACTCAGGAAATTTGACTCTGACTTCCCCAAAGCTCCGGGATTTTCAGGAATGCTTCCAAGTATATTAACAGCAGGAATGGCGGAGAGACAAGGGTATAGATAATAGAAATGGTCAGCAATATTAGCTTTCATTTGTGGTTGAAACTTAAAATACCGAGTGGACTGCTGGAATATATAACATGCAGGAATTAAAACTTATTTACATACACCTTCACTCATCTTCATTTGGTTTCTCTCAAAACCCACATCATCTTTCTTTACTCATGAATTCTCTTAGCAGCTGTTAATCACTTTCACCCAAGAAAGTTCTGCTCAAGTTCTCTCAAAGTTTAAGCCCATGGTATCTTTAGAATTCATATAACCAAAATAATGCCTCCGATTCCATTGTTCCAGGCCAGATTACTCATTGATGGGTTAACAAGTTCTAGTTCTGTAACTGGGGCTTTGTGGAGAGGCTCATTAGTGTCACTGATCAGCTCAGTGTTTAAACAGATAAACAAGATGAAAACCCTTTTTACAAAGAAAAATTTCAAATGGTGGATGGAGGGATCATGTTCTGCATAATTTATCGGGTTTATCTTCCAATAAGGTAACTTTTGCCATTGAGCTGTCAAGAAGGAGATGACAACACTTATGAAGAAAACTATGAAATTCAAAAACAGAAAACAAACTACCACCCAGTTGCTTCAACTCAGTCCTGGGTCTCAGGTCCAGGATATACTTAAATTATGAGGTACAGTTTGTGGAAGAAACAAGAAGTAAGGCTAGAAGTGAATTCCGGTTTATTACTACAGGAATTCACTCAATGTTGTGTTGGAAAGGACTCAAGAGTTTCCAGAGGCTGTAAATTTCATGGGAAGAGACTGCCTAGGAGGCAGTGGGGGATTCCAACTACCAGTGAGACCCTGTTTTCGGGTCAGCTGCACAACTGCCTAAGGTCAGGCCATCGGAGCACCCTGCGTCTGCACTAGCTGCAGTCAAATGGATCGCCCGAAAGCTCGGCTTGTGTTTTAGCCATCTTGTAATAGCTGATTCTCCACTTCTTGCTTCACTACCTCCTTCTCTTAGGCTTTGTTCAAAGAAAAGCTTAGTTAAAGTACAATAGAAACACAGATCTTGTAAGGAGAAAAGTAGGAGAAAGTCAGGGACTGTTCTTAAAACAGGAAGATAGCGAAAAAAGTAAAAAAAAAAATATGGCCACTCTCTAGTGGCCTATGATGGTCATGCTATACAGAAAACAAGTTTCTAATCTTAGGACAGGGATCACTGGTGGCCTAGTGGTAATCCTGAAGGGACACGGTTTGAAGCCACGAGCCGCTCTGTAGAAGAAGAATGGGCAATCTCCTTCTGTGCAATTTATTGCCTTGGAAAACCTGCTGGAGGGTCAGCTATGGTTTAGCTCTGACTTGATGGTAGGCAACCACAACAACCACCACCACCACAACAACAACCTTATGACAAAAGTTAGTCTCACAAAACATCTAATTCTACTCCTCCAATTTATCTGGCAGCCACCAGAATAAACCAGTCGAGTATCAACAAAAAAATGAGAATGGTTACCTCCATTTCATACATGGGGGGCCCAAGGATGTCTTTCAGAGCATGGAAATCAATCAAAATTGGCATTTCAGGTGGTAGAGCCAAGTCGGCTGGGTCACTGACAGATTCAAGTTTTGCATCTTCTAAGACATCTTCTCTGCAACCTAAGAGAGAAAAATGTATTTAGAACTTGTAAGCATCTTTTTAGATTTAAAAAAAAAACACACCAGTAAATACAAAAAAGGGAATGCACCATAGTTCTCTTTATGCACCCAGAAAAGGCAGAGAGAGTTTAATTCAGCTTGTGTACATGTGGGATTGGGCAGGAGGACCAGTCTTTAATAATCCTTTGAGATAAATCTTGTTCGTGTGCTTTTACTTGCTTATTGGTCTGTCTCTTCCTATTAAAGAGTGAGCTCCTTGAGAGCAGCAATTTCCCTGAGAGGTCAGCTATAGAAGGCCAGGTTTAACAGATAACTCTGGAATAGTCAACACTATTCAGGACCTTGTCAAACTTCCAATTGCCTCTACTCTTGGAGCTTGGAAAAGTGGAGGGTCCGTGAGATGGACTGACTTAGCGCCTGCAGTGGTGGACTTTGAGCACAGCAGAAACTGTGACGACGGCACAGGGCAGGCTTAACTTGTTCTGTCGTACACAGGACTGTGATGAGTCAGGGTCAACAAGAAGATTCCTAATGACAATAAAAACTACTCGATTCTTTCCAGAGGAGCTGTTCAGGTGTCCTATTTTCTGACTACGTGTAACAACTAATTGGAAATAATAGAAAATACACTAAGCAATGTCTCCTTGGCCAACTCTAAGATTAAAATGTCCCAGTAAAAACAAATACCATTTGTAATGCCAGGATAAGAGGAAATTCCCTATAATAATGTCTTTCCTTTTTACCTTCCTAAGAGTCATGCATGGTTGGCTGATATCTTGTCCATGTACTAATTGATTTCTTTTGATTTGGGCCTAGGCAGCGAGTCTGAGTAAAGATAACAACTATTCAATCCATATGCTCATCAAATACTTGCAGAGGATAGACTTTATGGAGGAGAATGCGGCATTCAGATTGGAGGAAGATCATCAACAACCCGCATTACGCAGATGATTAACCCTGCTGGTTAAAAGCCAGAGGACCAGAGGCGGCAACTGCAGAGGATCAAGGATTGCAGCCATCAAAAGGGATTATATCTCAACGTCAAGAAAACAAAAGTCCTCATCAACGGACTAACTCTTTTATCTCAGGCCATAAAGCGGCTTCTCAACTTTTCTAGCAGCAAAAGGAACCTTTTGGATTTTCTCCCCCACTTTGTAGAAACAATAACCATTTTAACTATACATGCTCCCAAGCTCCAGATTTAGAAAACAAAGCCATGTTTCTATGAGTCTGGACCAACGAATCCCAATACTTCTGACGCCAACTCTAGAAGGAGCATCTGTGATGTGGGAGAGGCCAAGGGTGACTTCTACCTACTTCCTACAGGGGAACTGACCCCATCAATAATACCCACAGTACCAAACAAAAGGCTACCTGATCTGATATGCCACCCCACAGGCTTCTGCATCTATTTCTATCCATTGGTAAACATTTTCACCAATTGAGTCCAATGTCTGTTGCTATTGCTTCCAATGTCCTGCACCCAAGTCTACCAACTGGTAAAAATTTCTACCAATTGGGTCCAAAGTCTGCGGCAACTTTGATTCCCAGACTTTACTCACAGCTGTAGTGGGGTTTATTAGAGAAATAGGCTGGGGAGTGAGGAAGGCCAAGAATATCACACAATGCAGGTCCAGATGTAGCCCAGCAGTCCCAAGCCAGGTTCCCACAGCTGGTGATGATGTGTACAGTTAAGATAGCCTAAGACCGTGTCCCCCAATGGGAGCCAATTTGCCAGCAGGAAGTAGCTAATACGCCATCCCCTTTCCCTTATGAATCAGGGTGAAGTCTCTCTCAGGGAGGAGTGATAGGGAATGGCAAAGGACACACAGACAAAGGAGATTAATCAGAACTGGCTTTGACAAGCACTGTGGCAATTGGACAATTAAAACAGACTTTTGAGGGGGCGAAGAAGAACGAACTGGGGAGGAGGGTGGAGACAACAGTGCAAAAATGAATGAATGAAAACCCAAAATCTCTGTAAATGTTCATTAAATTTTATAAAATTTAGGGGAGCTCTGGTGGACTAGTGGCAAGAAGCTGCAGTACAATCCCAGAGGCTCACGGTTCGAATCCACCAGATGCTCTGCCGGGGAAGGAGGGACAATCTCCTCCTGTACCAGTCAGATCTGATCTGACGGTACATGCACACACACAAATAATAAAATAAAAATTAAAAAAAAATTTATAAAATTTAGTAATTTTTTTTAAAAGAAAAGCCAATTTGCAAGGATTCTGACACCACTGAGGTGCACATTCCTTAAAGTAATGAAGCCTATTGATCAAGGGGGTAGCACAGTTCAGTGAGGAGTGCAGAGTACAGGAAGGGGGATGATGGGAGGATGAATGGGAATGACAATCACGAGGAGGTAGTGGAAAAGTGTCCTTGTGTTGTGGGGACTGGAATGAATGTCAAAGAACAAAATATATATGCATGGTTGAATGGAAAAGCCAACCAGTGCTGTATGTTGAAGTCACGGTAAAATGTTAACAAAAGAAAAGGCCAAGGTAGATCACAGGATAATTAGCACGTGTTCTCCACCAGGTGACTGTAACTGCCTGGGGAAGTTTAGCTGAGCCCAGATGAAACTGAAAACTCTCTCCTCTCTGAAGCAGTAGGGGACAAGAAAAGACTGTGGTTTTCACTTGTGGGGTGCTTACGTATATTTAGAAAAATCACCAGGTGCCATGGGGCTGATCTGGACTCTGACGCACGATGACCCTCGGTCTCAGTACTGAGCTTCTTCCTTCTCATTTCCTTTTGTTGTGGTTTGGGTGAAAGTTTCAAGAGCACATTCATTTACTCTTAACCCCATACTCTCATGCTATTTCATAACTTTTGCTGTGATGCCCTCCTCGTAACAGCACTCTTCTCGTGTGGATTCCCCACATCTGCGCATCTATGGGTTTTTTAATGGTTTATTTTGGGTTAAGTACATTGCCAGGAGTTTTCTTAGGAGGAGGAAACATCACAATAGATGGAGAAAAGATTGAAATTGTCAATGATGTCATCTTGCTTGGATCCACAATTAACACCCGTGATAACAGCAGTCAGGAGATCAGGAGATGTATGTTGTTATGTGTTGTTATGAGTCGTTTGCGACTCATAGCGACCGTATGTACAACAGCCCTAAACCCTGCTCCATCCTGTGCCAATCTCACTGTCTCTGACACACCCACCATGATTATCCCAGTCACTGAATCAATCCACCTCATAGAGGGTCTTCCCCTCCTGCACTGTCTCTCCACTCTCCCAAGCATGATGTCCCTCTCCAAGGACTGGTCCCTCCTTACAAAATATCCAAAGTATAGTATTGGGAAAGTCTGCTGTGAGGGATCTTTCTATAGTCCTGAAGAACAAGGGTGTTAGTTTAAAGACTAATGTGCACCTGATCAAAGCCACAATCTTTTCAATCACCTGCCAAGCATGTGAAAGCTGGAAAATGAGTAAAGATGACAGAAAAAGCATCACTGCATTTGATTTGTAGTGCTGAAGAAGAGTCCTCAACATTCCTAAGACTGTCAAAAAAACAGTCTCGGAGAAAGTGCAACCAGAGTGGTCCTTAGAGGCAGGATGGCAAAGTTTTACCTCACATATTCTGGACAGGTTGTAAGGAGAGAGGGTGTCTGTGGAACTGGGCTCAAATATATCGGAAATAATTAGAACCCATGATAGGACAGGGCTCAGATCTGTTGTTCACAGAGTCACTATGAATTGTACTTGACTAGATGGCTTAACAACAAAGATAAATATTACATAATAAATATATGGCCAGAACCCTACAAGAAGTAGATGCTTTAAAACAATGTAGGGAATATTTGGCTTTATTCATTCTCATGTCTGGCATTGTCTGTCTGTCTCTGCATCCTCTCCAACATTTGCTTGCTGTCCTGTTAAACGTTCCCACTGCTACTGGGGTGAGATGGTATCTCATTGTTGTTGTGACTTGTATCTCTCTGATTTCCAGTGATTTTGAGCATTTCTTCATGTGTCTGTTGGCCAAGCCAACATCGCCCTTCGTGAAAAGCCTTTTGCCCATTTTGCTATTGGGCTATCAGTCTTTTTCCTGTGGAGGCCCTGTAGTTTTCTGTGAATTTTTGTTATGAGACCCTTGTCTGAAATGCCATTGCCAAATGCTTTTTACCAGTCTGTAAATTTTCTTTTCACCGTATTGGAAAAAGGTTTAAATGTACATAAGGACTTAATTTTTACAAAGTGCCATTTGTTAATTTTGCTCTCTTGGTTGTGCATTTCTGGCTATATTTTCAAACTTACTTATGCCATAGACTAAGACTTCTAAGCTTGGTCCCATTTTGTTTCTTATGATCCTTTTGGTTTTGGGCTCTGAAAGTGTAGTATAGTCACACAATGGAATGCTATTATGTACTGCTGGGTTGAAACTGACCCACAGCTGACCCTCCAGCAGGTTTCAGAAGCAGTTAATCCTATGGAAGGAGACTGCCCATCTTTCTCTGCAGCATGAGGGAACAACAGTTTCGTAAAATACTATATAACATGGGAGAATCTAGAGAGTATTATTCTGAGTGAACTAACTCAGTCTCATAAGGAAAGATATTGCAAATAGAAAGATAGCTAGTTAGATGTGTATAAATGTCCAAATGTGGAAGGGGGTGAAAAAAGGGAAGGGTGGAAATTACCAGGATAACAGAGATTAGTGGGCAGACTACAGGGAAGGTGAGGGAATAGGAATGATCAAATTGGGACTTAAAAAGATGGTATAATAACAAGCTTAGATCAATGGTAATTATATGGGACACAGCGTGTATCAGTAGTTGTATGAAACACAATTTAAATGAGAGGTTTACACAGATGGAATAAGAGATGAAATATGATGCATATGAATGAAACAGAAATAAATGACTGTATGAAAATCAATTCCATATAGTAAAAGTAAATGCTCTTCATAACATCCATCGAACACTAAGCTGTTACTTAAGTTACTGAAAGCATCTATTAATGGAATGGTATGTGCCACTGTTTCTAGAACCCAGTTATCATCCCTCTATACCCAAACTGACTTTGCCATCTATTCTGAGAGCACAAAGTCACAAACCTTCTCCGTCAGTCACATCAGAACGGTCCAACTTGGCTTCCTTATGCTGTCCTTCTGCCACCTTTACAGCAACAGCTCGGCAAATGGCTCCAAACTTCCTGTCCAGAGAACGGACCCCTGCCTCTCTGGTATACCTGTCATAGAGAAAAAAATATTCTCACTGTAGCGGAACATTATCTGTGAATTGTACTGGTGAAATCTGTTGTCAGAGACCTCTCCAGAGCACTGAAGAGCAATGATGTCAGTCTAGAGACTAAGGTGTGCCTAAGCCAAGCCATGGTCTTCACAATTACTTGCTATGCATTAGAGAGCTGGACAATGTATAAGGATGACAGAAGAATTGATGCCTTTGAATTGTCCTGGAGAAGAGTCTTGAACATACCATAGACCACCAAGAATACAGACAGGTCTGTCGTAGAGAGGGTGAAACCAAGTTCTCTTTGGAGGCAAGGATTTTGGAACTGTCTCACATAGTTTGGGTACGTGGCCAGGAGAGACTGGTCCTTGGAGAAGGACCATCATGCTCGAAGGGTGGAGTGACAGCAGCATAGGAGAGGAAGACTCCGGGTGAAATGGATTGATACAATAACTGGAGTAATGGGGGTCGGAGTGTCAGAATCAGTGGGATGGGCTCAGGACAGGGCAAGCTTCAGAGCTGCTGTACATAGGGTCGCTATGGGTTGAAGATGACTTAATAGCACATAACAACAACAAATTTATCAACAGGCCACCAGAGCTCCCTAGTATCCACTTAGAAAATCACAAAACAAGCAAAGGAACTTCCAAGTGAGATTCGGCCTTATCATTCGGTGTACAGATTTAAATAGACTTCCTTAAGAAGACTGGCTTAAATCTACAAGCGATCTGACTGGCCAAACCCTAAGTCAAAATTCAAAATAGAGAGATACTTCATATTTTTTTAAAAAACAGCAGTTTCCAGAAAAAGGAGGTAAGAGGAATTTTTGGCAGATTGACACAATGTACCAGATTATACAATGGATGTGTCAGAGTGATGCAGGAAAACTCCAAGAGGAATTTCCAGACTGAAATTCCACAGAGTATATTTTTCCATTCAAACAACCCATCTATAAACTAGACTAAACCAGACTTACACCATCATATACTGCTTTCCATAGGCTTAAGCATTTGGTAGTAGACTTTGGAAAGTACTTTCTCTGTCATAGTGTTAACTCAGAAGATTAGAAATTTTATAGATTTTAAAATCTTTAGTCACACAGAAGAAAATCTAATAGTCTAAAACAGATGTCAGATAATATAATGTTTTAAGAGATAATTTATTTTTAAGAGAATTTAACCATTTTTAAGATCCTAGCCCTAACAATATTTTCTGTATTTTTTATGCTTTTATCTATATCTATATTTTGCAGCTATATTTTCTATGCTTTTAGCCCTTAATTTATCAAATTCTGGCTCCACTAAGGTCCTGAGTTTTGAAGGTATTTGGAAGGCGTTCTCTATGGGCTTCTGCATTCCTACACAGTCCTGTGTAAACCAACAGCTGTGGAAATACTTGCTGGGACTCTGTGGGCAACAGAGAAATGGATGCTGCAGGTTGACAGGAAGATAATCCAACATTAACGATGCCTTGGAATGGTTGATTAACCTGGTAATGATGTCCAGGGTAGTAACCTGAGGAATCTGGATCTGCTGAGGTGTCAGTCCGTGCTGTTCCAGTTGCTTTGGGATCAAGTGCCTGTGGGCAATCTCGATCTTCTCCTCCTGCGTGTAACCTGTCAAAGAAAGTTCAACTTTCTCAGATTTACAGTGAATTTAAATATTATCAACTTAGATTTAGTTGTTGTTGTTATGTGCCATCAAGTCGCTTGCGACTCATAGCGACCCTATGTACAGCAGCCCTAAACTCTACTCTGTCCTGAGCCAATCATACTGTCTCTGACACTCCCATCCCAATTATCCCAGTCACTGAATCAATCCACCTCACAGATGGCCTTCCCCTCCTGCGCCGTCCCTCCACCCTCCCAAGCATGATGTCCTTCTCCAAGGACCGGTCTCTCCTCAAAACATGTCCAAAGTATGTTAGACGGAGCCTCAGAATCCTTGCCTCCAAGGAGCCACCCGGTTTAACCCTTTCCAGGACAAATCTGTTTGTTTTCCTAGCAGTTCATGGTTTCTCAATACTCTTCTCCAGCACCACAGCTCAAAGACATCAATTCTCCTTCTATCCTCCTTGGTCATTGTCCAACTCTCTGATGCATAACAAGTGATTGTGAAGACCATGGCCTGTATCAAATGCACCTTAGTCTCCAGAGAGACACCATTGCTCTTCAGTACTTTGGAGAGGTCCCTAATAGCAGACTTTCCCATGGCAAAGCGCCTTTTAATTTCCTGGCTACTGGTGCCAAGAGTGTTGACTGTGGAGCCAAGCAAACTAAAGCTGTGAACAATCTCAATCTCTTCACCATCCATCCTGATGCTGCCAATTGGTCCAGTGGTGAGAATCTTTGTCTTCTTGACATTGAGCCTCAATCCATATTGGAGGCTGCAGTTCTTGACACTCTGCAGCAGGTGCTTCAGGTCCTCTTCAGTTTCAGCAAGCAGGGTTGTGTCATCTGCGTAACACAGATTGTTGATAAGTTGTCCACCAATCTTGACCCCACATTTCTCCTCAGAGCCCAGCGTCCCAGATAATCTGTTCTGCATATAGGTTGAAAAGGTATGGAGACAGGATGCATCCCTGGCGTACGCCCTTCCCAATTTTGAACCATGTAGTGTTCCCTTGCTCTGTTCTGATGACTGCCTCCTGGTCCAAGTATAGGTTTCACATTAGCACGATCAAGTGTTCTAGGATTCCCATTCTTCTCAGAGTCAGCCACAGATTTAGAATAAATTTAAATATTATTCAAGTAAGAATAACCAGAATAAAGAAATTTAACTTCAAATCAGCAATTATGAAAATTCCTTCTTCCCCCAGTAAACTAAGCAGCAGTGTTTGAAAGTCCTTGTTTAAATGTTGTGTTTCTAAAAATAAAGAAAGAAATCTTTGTGAGACTTTAGAGTTCTTTTTCTCAAATGTTCTGAAATTTATTATTATTCAGTAGAAAAAAAGAAGCATATCTCTTTTTTGTTTTTCTTTTTATTTTATATTGGTTTGCTTACAAAGTTGGTATACATTGTTTCACACTATCCTTCATTCACATTGTGCTTCACACAATCATTCCTATTATTATGTTTTATAAAATTCCGCACTGCAATCCCAGAGGTGCGTGCTTCAAATCCACCAGGTGCTCTGCTAGAGAAGAAGGAACACTCTTCTCCTGTACCAGTCAGATCTGATTTGATGGTGCATAGACACACAAATAATAATAAAAAAAAATAATCACTATTAACCTATGCTCACCATTATCCTGTCTTTCCAGATCCTGGTGGGATCTTTCCCATTTCCTTTTGTCCTCCTCCCTCCACCCACCAAATTGTGTGACTGGATGATTTTCCTCCTGCCCATCTTCATACTCCTCTGCTCTCATCCTACCTACTTGTACACTCATATAGATTTTACTAATTATCTTTCTATTTCTACAATGGTCTTAACACAGTATTTGTCCTTATGAGACTGAGTTAGTTCACTCAGCATAATGTTCTCCAGACTCTCCGAAGTAATATAGTATTTTTTGAGATTGTTGCTCTATCCTCCCCTTTTTAAGCACAAACTGATGCTTGTGGTTGTTGTTAGGTACCATCAAGCTGACAATGACTCACAGTGACCTTATGAACAACAGATAAGAACCTTGCCCCATCCTGCATCAACCTTATCATCTGTCATATTGAAGCCCACTGCACTTGTCACTTTGTCAATCCACCCTTCCCAGAGATGTTTCTCTCCAAGGACTGGATCGTCCTGAAAATATGCCCAAAGTGTATGAGATGAAATGTCATCATTCTTGTCTCTGAAGAGGAACACTCTCACTATCTTCTTTCTAGACAGATTTGTTTGTTCTTTTAGCAGTCCAAGGGGTATTCAGTAATCTTCTCCAACACTACAATTTAAAGGCTTCAGTTCTGTTTTCCTTACTTGCTGTCCATAGGAAGCAACTGAAACTAGCATAAGTTGGACCAGATACATCTTAATATTCAAATGATATTCTTGCTCTTTTGAATTTTAGAGGTCCTTGACAGCAGATTTCCCCAATGCAAAGCATCTTTTGACTTTCTAACTTGTGCTACCACGGGTGTTGATGGTGGATGCAAGTAAGATGAAATCGCCAACAACTTAAATTCTTTCTCCATCTACTGCAACGCAGCCTATTGGTCCAGTAGTCAGGACTGTTTCTTTGATGTTGAGATGTAACCTATATTGAAGTCTTTGATCTTCTGCAGTAAGTGCTTCAAGTCTTCTTCACTTTCGTCAAGCAAGGTTGTTGTGAGGAAAAACAGGCCGCAGAGAACCAGATGAAGTGAAACAAAGGAGTTTATGATCAGCTCTCCAGTGAAGTTCGGCAGCCCCACGCAGGAGGAAGTTTGTGGGGATGGGTGGTCCCATGTGTGGAAGCTACAACAAAAGTTTTGAAGGTGGGGGTTGGAGGTAGGTTGATCCATTCCGTGGTCAGCTCTGTGGTGATCGGATGCCTTTTGCCCATTCCCATGTATGGAGCTACTCAGGACCCTCAGGTGGGTTGTGTTATAGCTGATGTTAGGTAAGATGTGGCCAGTGGTCGTGCTCTCTTCTGATTGGCTGTAGCCATCTTATACCAGGCTGACTGGAATGTCTCCCAAGAGATAAGTCAGCGTGGAATGCTGCCCAGCTCCCAGGTGGTCTTTCAGTTGTGTCATCTTCATAAGAAAAGTTGTTGAAGAAACTCGCAAAGGGTGCTAGGAATCTTTTGAATTCTAATCTCCACCTTGTCCTTGCTCAGTGAGCTCTTGTGACATGAGATCTTTCTCCTGCTACATAGCCAAGGAATATGAAATTAATTGAGGTTTGTGGATATGTTACTGGACTTGATACCATTAGGAGATCTTGTTCTCTACAGTAAGTTCCTTGATCTGGTGTAGATGATGTTAGGAGAAGTGGACCAAAACACCTCTCAAATAACCAAAAGAACCCATTATGGTGATGACCCCTAACCTGTGGGATGTGAGGCTTTGGGTGAGCAAGTGCTGCGCTATGAGTGCTTCATCAGTGACGTCCTTCAGAGGCATCTGCGAAAGGTGCTCGGCCATCGAGACAAGGTATATGAGCAGCTGGCTAAACACCTTCAGCAGAGAAACGTCACTGAATGACTTCAGGAGGCCAAGCACCCAGTTATACAAGCAGGTGGATTTTTTTTTTAATTTAGGTTGTTTATTTTTCATTTCAATGAACATCTACAGAGATTTTGGGATTCCATTCATTCTTTGTTGCCCCCTTCCCCCCGCACAAACCCCTCCCCTCCCCCCCCCCCATTTGCTAAAGCAAAAGAAAAACTCCCTCATCGGTACACAATCCCACCCACCGCACCTCCCCAAACCCCACCCCCTAGCCCCAAATATAATCCACTCTACAACCCTCATTGCATACTCCTACGGTAAAAATAATGCCCTAAAATATAATACTTTTAGACTATTCTCTCTCCCATAGATTTCAATGCCGTAAACATATTTCATCCAGTTTTTCTCAGTCTTACCCCCACCCCAATGCCAGCCTCATTCTACAACAGTGGCACCATGTAGCATTTGTCCCTTTGTGACTGAGATACCTCACTCAGCATAATGTCCTCCAGGTTCACCCATTTTGAATAATATTGCATGAGTTCCTTGTTTTTCAATGCAGCATAGTATTCCATTGTGCGAATATACCACAGCTTCTCTACCCATTCGTTTGTTGATGGGCATTTAGGTTGTTTCCAACTCCTTGCTATTGTAAACAAAGCTGCGATAAACATGGGTATACATATATCTACTTGGATGTCATTTATGGTCTCTTTAGGGTATATTCCCAGTAGTGGAATTGCTGGGTCAAATGGTATCTTTATTTGCAACTTTTTGAGAAAGCGCCACAATGCTTTCCACAGTGGTTGTACCATTTTACACTCCCACCAACAGTGAATCAGGTTCCCAGTCTCTCCACAACCTCGCCAGCATTTGTTGCTTGCTGTTCTGTTACATTTTGCTAGTCTTACTGGAGTGAGATGATCTCTCATGGTTGTCTTGATTTGCATCTCTCTCAGGGCTAGGGATTTTGAACATTTCTTCATGTACAAGCAGGTGGATTTAAGCTATAACTTCTGTGTGTTGACACAGAGGTCCCAGACACTTCATGGATCTACATGGCCCTTGGATATGGTTTCTTTCTGGAGCTGACACTGGCAGATGCCCTCCAGTTCATTGATTGGAAGAGCTGTCTCCTTACAGAGCTCAGCAATGGCCTCACTATGGACTTCATGAGTATCAAGGCCCATATTCCTATGTCGCTTGAGGGACGTAGGGAGTTCCAAGTCCTGTAGAATCTTCTAGATGAGTCTGGCCACTACCTTTCTCTGTTCCCTTCCCACAACTTTTAAAGAGCCTGAATGCCAAAAAACAAACTGCAGAAACAATTTTGAGAATCCTACTGCCTTCTATTAAGCCAGACAGTAAAGAGATTTTTCTTTTTTGGGGGGGAGGGAGCAAAAAAAAAAAAAGTAAAAAGATTGTTTTTGTTGTTGTGTACCATAGATTTGGAATGGACTCAAGATTTGGAATGGACTCACAGCTGACCCTCTGGTATATTTTCAGAGGCCGTTAATGCGGGTGGAGACTGCCCATCCTTCTCCCACAGAGCAGCTGGTGGACTCAAACCATGTGTCTTTGTGATTGCAGCACAGCTTCTTGCCAGTAGGCCACCAGAACTCCCTAAAAAAGGCTGTTTTTGAAGGCCTGTTATTCCAGAAGTTGATGGCCTATCCTGTTCAGATGCTCTGCTGAAATCAGAGCACCATGGTACTCAAGCTACTGCAGTACAGCAAACTAACAGACGAGTAGTGGCATAAATTAATACATACAAGTTTTTGTAAGGTGGTTTTGTAGTTTGTTATTTTTTTTTTTAGTGTTGTTATGTGCCATTGAGTCATCATAGTGACCTCTGAACTATAATGATGTCAGTCTGGAGATTAAGGTGTGCCTGATTCAGGCCATGGTTTCACAATCATTTGCTATGCATCAGAGAACTGGACAATGACCAGAGATAACAGAAAGAGAACTGATGCCTTTGAGTCTTGGTTCTGGAGCAGAGTACTGAACACAACATGGACGGCCAAGAGAACTAACAGATATGTCTTGGACAGGGTAAAAGCAAGCCGCTCCCTGGAGGTAAGGATTTTGAGAGTCCATCTTATATACTTTGGGCATGTTTCCAGGAGGGTCTAGTCCTTGGAGAAGGATATTATGCTTGGACGAGTGAAAGGGCAGTTTAGGAGAGGAAGACTCTTGGTGAGATAGACTAACACAGTAACTGGGGTAATGAGGGTAAGTGGGTCAGGGACAGTGAGATTGGCTCAGGATAAAGCTGGGTTCAGAGCTATTGTGCATAGGCTCACTATGATTCATAGTAGACTCAATGGGAAAATATATAACATACTATAGAACTAGCAAATCAAACTGTTCACTCAAAAATCCACGGCATGACCAATTTTAAAGGATTATGCTTTGAAAGGCAAGGAAGACCAAACAGTGATTTTATTCACAAATCAAATACCTGGAACTTGAATGATCTCCATTCTGTCTAACAAGGCAGGTGGAATAGTGGCAGTGGTGTTAGCAGTAGCTATAAAAAGAACTTGGGACAGGTCAAAGGCCACATTCAAATAATGATCTGTGAAGTTATGGTTTTGTTCAGGATCCAATACCTAGGAGAAAGGAAGCATTTAAACAAGAAATTCAGTTCTAATAGAAAGCTATATAAATGAAAACATCTATTATGCATTATTAGCAAGGTTAGTATTTCTGGTCAACATAGTTGAAGAAACAAAGGATTATCATTCTTTGCCTTCTCCACACTCATTTCTTAATTAAAGATGGTCAATATAAAAAAAATTGAAAAAGGAGGTTTAAGCACAAAGAAGCAAAAATTCTGTCAAGTCTTCTTAGATCTAGAAATGACATATTCTATGACCATAAATAAGTTACCAGTCTTGGCAGGACCACTTTCCATTTTCGTTGCACTCTCTCTCTCAACTACTATAGGAATTTAAAAGAAATTTGTTGAGTACTTTAAATTCTTAGTCTGTAGTTACATGGTCACATGTGTCCTCAAATATTGTTAAGGTCTAAAGAACATGAGATGAAGTTTCACTATGCATGCTTCTAAGGAAGATTCTGGTTGCACTTCTTCCAGGACAGACAATTGTTCTGGCAGCCCATGGAATACACACTATTCTCTGCTAACAAAGTTCTTCTTCAATGTTCTTTATTCCCTATCTAGTTTTCACACATATATGAGGTGATGGAAAAGAGCAACATTTGGGCTACACCTTCTTTAATCCTCAATATGATATTTTTGCTTTTAACACTTCAAAGATTTGCCACAAATCTGCCTTGTGTTATATTCACTGATTTCTTGACTGTTGTTTCCACAGGCATTGACTATGGAAGTAAAACGAAATCCTTAGTATCTTCAATCTTTTCTCCATTTTGAGGTGTAATCCACATAGAAGGCTGAAGTCTTTGGTCTCCATCAGTACATACTTGAAAGTCCTCTTTGATTGTAGTAAGCAAGGCTGCATCATTTTCACATCACTGACTGTGACGGAGGTTTTGTCCAATTCCTGTGATGGTTCTTCATGTTGTTCAGCTTCCTGGATTAACTGGTCAGCATACAGTTTCAAAGTCTACAACCTTGACATAAACCTATTCTGTTCAAAAGGTCTGACTCTGGGCTATGCACAAGTTTGGCACTTATGGTTATGTGCTGACAATCTGCCTGTGACTCATAGCGACCCTCTGTACAACAGCCCTAAACCCTGCTCTATCCTGTGCCAATCTCACTGTCTCTGACACACCTATCCCCATTACCCCAGTCACTGAATCAATCCGCCCCATTGAGGGTCTTCCTCTCCTGCGCTGTCCCTCCACCCTCCCAAACATGACATCCCTCTCCAAGGACTGGTCCCTCCTTGCAACATGTCCAAGGTATGTCAGATGAAGTCTGCTGTCAGTTTGGCATGAGCACTATTAAATCTTCTGGAATTCTCATTATCCACAGTGCTATGCATAAACTGTTATGAATCACACAACTGAATGCCTTTGCATTACCAATAAAACACAGGTGTGATCATCTTTTTGGTACCCTTTGCTTTTAGCCAAAATGTATCCAATATCAACAATGAGATTCTTTGTTTCATGCTCACTCTGAATCTACCTTGCATTCTTGTAATTCTTTGCTGATGTGCTGCTGCAAAGATTTTTTTTCATTATCTTTAACAAAACTTTAACTGCATGCGATAATAATGGCATTACCCAATAATTTCTGCATTCTGCTGGGATACACACACACACGTTATGATAAAAGCTGAGATACTCTCTCTACTCGTTTGTTACATAATGTTAACAGCCTTCATTCCCAAGATGACAAACTTGAAGAAGTAGTCCATGAACTTAACAAGCTTTTGATGAAGCATAAAATTAAAAGTTCTTTAAAATAGGAAGTTCTTTGTGGTCCCCCCCCACCTTGCTGTTTACTGTCGAATCGAATCCGACTGGCACAGGAGATCGCCCCTCCTCTAGCAGTGTCTGGCGGATTTGAATCGTGTGCCTTCGGGACTGCAGCACAGCTTCTTGCCAGCAGGCCACCAGAGGTCGCTAAAATAGGAAGTTCTTTAATCACACAGTCCAGCCAGGTTACCCTCCTGTGAAGCTTATTTATCAATAAGCCTGATTCAGATGTTCTCAGCTTCGAATCACCTTCCACTTCCTTACTCTTACTTATGCATGGACAAACACAAACTTCCAGTCATTTAATGTCAAACTCTAATGTAAAAGACATAGACCAAAAAACAAAACACAACAAAAAACCAGATAAAAGAAGTATAAAAAGAAGGAAAAATTAAACAAAATGTCTCTGCAAACCTTTATCAGCATTTTCCTCACCAATAGGGCATATTACAACTATTTAACAAGAAAATGTGCAGAGAATTTTTTGGAAGTTCTTTTAAATTAAAAAAAAATGGTGGCAAAAAATTTTTAATAAACCCATAAAGGAGTTAAATTTTGAAAAGCTTAAGGAGTATTCAGAGTAACAGGAGAGCAACAATATGGAAAGAAAAACTCTAACATACGATGAATAGAAGTTCCAAGAAAGTGAAGATCATCAACAAATGGTTTCAAGAAAACTTTCCAGAACTAAAAGAGAGGATTTTCAATGCAAAGAATTTTCAAAGAGCCCAGCAAAAAGACAGAAAATTCCTTTACCCACCAAACTGTGCAGTCCTGTCATTTCATCCCTACCCATTCTTCTGCTCCACCCTTTACCCCCTTCGATTCCCATACGTTTTACTAGTTATCCTTCTATTTTTACAATAAAAGGGAGGAAAAGACAGAAAATCATATTCATGTAGATTGTTTTATTGTAAAATTTTAAGGAAAATAAAAAGAATACTCTAAAATATTTCCGAGAGTGAAACAAGTCATAAAAAGTAAGAATTGCAATGGCTTCTGTAACATGGGAGACTGAAGTGCATAGCAAAAAAAGTCATCAAAACAATTTCCAACTATGATTCTATATCCAGGCAAATCATCTATCAAGCATAAAAATATTGATATATGAAAAATATGAAAGCATTTATCTCCATACAAGCTTTCTCAGGAGGTTCTGGAAGACTGACATCACACAGTGTCGGATTAAAGCAAGAAAGAAGAAAAAATGAAAGACAAGAAATTAAATATGGTAAAAGGTGAAGGTGTGGGGGCCCAAGGGAGATAGCAATGTGCCAGATACAAGTAACAACAGCTTCAGAATGGAGACATGAAAGAATATGAAACTGAATATCTAAGGTTGGCTGGGTATTGCAAAAGAAGAACTAGACAGCTGATCAGAGTAAACAAAAAAAGAAACAAGCAAATTATGAACTCAAAGAAAATTTAAAAATACACAAACTTACGAGAACACACAAAAGAGGGAAAGAAAAGCAGCATAGTTTACCACAGGGCTCAGCTATGACATGCATTTATGTTATTATAATCTAAATACTCAGCGATTATTTAACAAAAGCAGATAAAATTAGAAAGGGCGAGTGGGAGTATAAAAGTGGATGCAGAGACAGGATAATAAGCGGAATTCTCATCTTTGGGGCATTCAAAAGACAACACGGAAAACTGAAGCAGGAGAAATACAGTCACGCTATTTCTGAGACTGGAGCCAATCAGAAGCTAAAGTGCAGAGAAGAAAAAGGGGAGTCGTTAAAGAGGATACTTTATTGCTGTTTTTTGTAATAACCTTGTCGAATTACTGGGTTGTTAACACTAAGTATATACAAGATGTTACAGATTTTATAAAGTCGATTAAAAATTAGCTTTTGAAAAGGAAAAAGGGGAGAAGAAAAACAAGGAATATTGTCAAAAAAGGAAAAAAATTCTAAGACATCTCAATTTAAACATCAAATTGTTTCAGATTTCAGTTTGTGTCAAATTTTTTCTCACAGCTAAACCCACATCACTAAATATACCACTTAGGACAGGATTACTCTCACATTGTTTAAATTTGCTCACAGGGTATTTTCTGAACCTTACCTCAAGGAGGGCTGATGCAGGATCACCCTGTAAACTTTTTCCCAATTTGTCAACCTCATCTAGTAAGAACACAGGATTGTTAACTCCAACAGTCTTCAAACCATTGATTATACGGCCAGGCATACTGCCAACATAGGTGCGCCTGGAAAGGAAGTGACAAATTAACAACAGATCAGTTTAAAAAAAATCCCTGTAACACAGGAGCGCCTGGGAGGTTCAAACACACACAGTAAGGGGTGGGGACGGTATCCATGTCCGTCCAGAGATGCTTTGGAAGAAACGCCTGGCCATCTACGTCTGAAAATGCAGTCCCTGAAAACGCTGCTAAGCACAGTTCTACCATGACAGGCGGGGCTGTGGTGAGGAGGAAGGGATCTCACAAAAATGGGTCTGCTTTTTGGGCAACACATCAAAGTTGTGAGTTCAACTCTTACTTTCCATGTCATTCTGGATGCAAGCTCCCCATGATGCTGAAAGCATTGCATCTCATTTTTGCCTTTCAGTGAAACAGAAAAGCTTTACACTTAACTCACACAATTGGGATTTTTGCTTATCAAAACCCCAAAATGTTCAAAAGACTCTATAAATTTTAGGCCTTAATGATTTTTTCAGAGTTTCTTACATTCCAACATGACTATATCTTTATATACTGAAATAGTTGTCTCACAACATGTTAAAAATACAGATCTTTTTTTAAAAAAAAAAGTCTGGTGGGATAAATGAATTAAGAAATAAAGATTCCAAGCATTTATTTTCAGAGGTAACAGTCTGTTCTAAATTAATCTGGTGGTTAGGATAAAATGATTTATGAAATGTAAGAGCACTGGGGGTTAAAGAGTATTTATATTAAAATTCCATTAATTCTAATCTTCCAGAAAAACTGTGCTTTCTCACATGTACTGACTGGCATAACCAAGTTCAGCTAGATATTCTTTTTGAGCACTAAAATGTTAGAGGCTGCTTTCTCACATTTAAACAAGAATTATCTCCATAATTTTAACAGATGAAGTGTGTGGTATGAAATAAAAACAAATATGGTAGAGTGAATAAAAATGCCTTTTTACAAATTCAGCTGAAACTTTAAGCAGCAGTTTACCAAATTGAATTACAAGCTTTCTGCCTAAGCCACGTGCAAACACACAGTGTTTCTGAAAATGCATGAGGGGCTGGGAAGCCAGCAGAAGGTGACCAGCAAGCAGCAGCATGTCTCATGGTCCGCACAGAGCTGACTCAGAGCGGGCCTCAAACTGCCGCACGACAGGTATAAAGCAGGGCGGACGAACAAAGTGACCTCTGAAGTCAAGAAAGCCTTGAAAAATATGCTGGAAACATCTTATCTGGGGAAAAGCGATCAAGGCCCTGAAATGAAATACAATAAACACTGTCCTGCTACAATGAAGAACATTGTTGATTTTTAAATTACTCAAGGGACAAGACTCAAAGTTAAGAACTTCACAGACATTATTTCTTGAGAAGAATTTCCAGGTGTGTATGTCATCACTCTGACTTAAGAGAAGTTGTTGTTGTTGCTGCGTGCCATCGAGTCAGAACCAAACACAAAGCTCAATCTCCAGTGGGTTTTTCTGAAGCATTAAAATAGGAGGAGAACGCCTGAACCAAACCCAAAGCTGACTCTCCAGTGGGGTTTTTTTAAGCATTAAATCGCACAGGAGGAGAACGCCCGTCTTTCTCCTGCAGAGTAGCTGTAATGAAGACAATTCTCATCCCCCAAACCTCAGTGGGTCACCTCCTGCATTAATCTCTTTCTCCTTCTGTTGAAAGTTTGCTGTTGTTAAACGCTGTCAAGTTGACGCTCACTTTCAGTGACCCTACGCAGGACAGATCAAAATCCTGTCCAATGCTGTACTAGCCTCACAATTTTAGCTGTGCTTAATTAAGCCCACGGCTGCAGTCACTATGCCAATCCAGCTTGTTGAAGGTCTTTCTCTCTTTCACTGATCCTCTGCCTTTCCAAGGATTGACCCCTCCTGACAACATGTCCATGCATGTACAAGAGTCACAAGATCTTTGCTTCTAAGAGGCACACGGGCTGCGCTTCTTCCAAAGTAAGTTTAGAAGTGGACTGTTCACCAGGGGAAACAAAATAATTGGACTTTTCGAGGACTAATAGACAGTGGAGCTAAGTGACACTCATTCTAGGAGAACCAACACACCACTGTGGTTGATGGAATAGAGTGGGGGCGTTAGGGGAGTACTGGCTCTATTCCATCTCACAGTGATCCCTGAATCCATTCAACAGTTGTTTTTAGGTTCTGTCCAGTATGGCTCATAGTGACCCCAGGAACAAAAAGGTCTGAACCCTGTTCTATCCTGCACCATCCTCACACTTCCTGACACACAAAGAGCAGCAGTAACCGTGTCAATCAACCTGGGTGAGGGTCTTCTACTCCTTCACTGACCCTCCACCCTTCCCAGCATCATGTTGCTCTCCAAGGAACAGCCCCTCCCAACAACATGCCCAAAGTATGTGAGGGGAAGCCTAATCATTCCTGCTTCCAAAGAGCACTCCAGCTGCACCACCTATAAAACATATCTCTTTGTTCTCTTGGCCATCCAGGAGATGGTCAGTGCTCTTCTCCAACACCACAGCTCAAAGGTGTCAATTCTTTTTCTGTCCTTATTCATTGTCCAGCTCTCAGATGCACAGCAAGTGATCGGAAAGATCATGGCCTGAATCACCCAACAGTACCATTCAACAGTACTTTCCCAATTCCAAAACGCAAATTTAGGATAGACATACTACACAACTAGCAGAATATCTACAAATGAATTCTGATATGTAGAGGAAAGACTATTATTTGTATAGAAAAAGTCATCAGAACTGCCCCATCAAAAAAAAAAAAAAGAAAAAAGAAAAGATTCTATAACTATGAGATACCATCTCACCCCAACCAGAATAGTAAAACTCAACAGAACAGCCAACAACAAATGCTGGTGAGTTTGTGGTGAAACTGGAACCCTTATTCACTGTTGGTGGGAGTGTAAAATGGCACAACCACTGTGGAAGGTGGTATGGCACTTTCTCAAAAAGTTGCAAATAGAGATACCATTTGACCCAGCAATTCCACTACTGGGAATATATCCCAAAGAGACCATAATTAACATCCAAGCAGATATATGCACACCCATGTTTATTGTGGATTTGTTCACAATAGCAAGGATTTGGAAACAACCTAAGTGCCCATCCACAAATGAATGGATAGAGAAGCTGTGGTATATTCACACAATGGAATACTACGCTGCATTGAAAAACAAGGAACTCATGCAATATTATTCAAAATGGGTGACCCTGGAGGACATTGTGCTGGGTGAAGTATCTCAGTCACAAGAGGATAAATACTGCATGGTGCCGCTGTTGTAAAACAGTACTGACCTTGGGGTTGAGGAGAGACTGAGAAAGATGGGTTCAATAATGTATACTGCATTGAAACAGATGAGGGAGAAAACAGTTTAAGAGGGATATGCGATTAGGTATTTTTGTCATGACAGGAGTCCAGAGCGAAGACTTGTATAATGGAGTGGACCTGGGGGGAAGGATTATAAAACAATGAAATAATTTTTCTTTTACTTTTCCAAGAGGGTAGTGTACTAGGGGGGAGGGTTGGGAGGGGAAAAAAGTGCAAAAATGAATGAATGGAAATCCAAAGTCTCTGTAAATTTTCACTGAAATTAATAAGAAATTTAAATAAAAGAAAAAAAGAACCCATATTCACACACACACACACACACACACACACAGTCAAACAAAAGCAACAGATTCTTCTTAGAGGAAGTGTGGAGACGTGTGCTACCATCAGGGGTTTGTAGGATGGAGGGCTGGCGTTCCCATCACATTCCCATTTCATTGCCTCTCTGCCTGTGCAAAAAAAAAAAAAAAAAAAAAAGAGGATGGCTTGTAAAAACTGATAGCTATCATAAACTTAATCACGATTGCGGCTGCTGTTCTGTATGTATGTTCCATACGTATGTATGTTCGGTAGGTAGTTTCACTGTGTGAGCTGATGAAACCCATCCTTGGGAAACCAGCATGTAGCTATTGATCTCTTTTCCAAACTTCCAGTTTTAAAGGATTATCAGAGCAGCTCACCTTCAGCTGGCAAAGCTAGCACTATACTGTCACTGTCACACGTCACAGGTCTATCAGCGGTCCTACACTGTGTCCCAATTGACTCCACAAGGACCCAGGCTGCCTTTCCCTTCCACAAGACACCACACTGGTCCATTACACTGGCGACACTTTGGTGACTAGATCGAGCAAAGAGGCAGTATCAGTGACTTTGGACTTATTTGTAAGACATTTTCATGCTAAACTCAACTCCACTCCCTGCCCCTGAATCAGAAGCGAGTCATGTCTGACTCCTCAGCGGGTTTTCAGAGGCTGGGAACTGCCTGGGAGAAGACTGCCCATTATTCTCTCTCAGAGCAGCTGGTAGATTCAAACTGCTAGAGAGGCATCATCCCTGGTTATCAGGGCAACTTCCTTCCCATGAGGCCACCATAACCTCTGTAAAGCTACACGCTAGAGGGCCAGCAATGCACCCAACAGAAATTCAAACATCTTTTAACTCAATGGAATTTCTAGGGGCCCCAGTGAGGGGCATTCTACATAAAGTAAAAGATATGTTACTCCATCTAGCCCCTCCCATGAATGAAACATAGGCGCAATGCTTAGTGAGTCATTTTGAATTTTTAAGGCAATATAACCCTTTTAACTGTTGTACTGCTTTGGCCTATTGAACAAATGACTAGAAAAGCTGATAGTTCTGAGGTGTCCAGAAAAACAGACAGTTCTGCAGTAGGTAAAGGCTGCCATGCAAGCCACTCAGCTACCTGGCCCGTAGGATCCAGTTGACCAGTGGTGCCTCAAGTGTTAGTGGTGGATAGAGATGTTGTTTGGTGTCTCTGGCAGGCTCCCATTGGTGAATCCCACCGAAGACTCTCAGGATTTGGGGGCAGATCCTTGCTATCCTCAACAAAGAATTTCTCTGCTTTTTAGAAAAAAAGTTTGTCCTGCTACTGGGTCTTGCCGATTTTGTTAGGTCAACAATGACCTATGGACAACATCAGAGCTGTGCCCACGCCTGTACTAATCTATCAATCGCCAACCTCGAGTCTATTGTT